TTCCTTCCTTCCTTCCTTCCTTCCTTCCTTCCTTCCTTCCTTCCTTTTTTTTCTTTTTCTTACTCTTTGGGACAGAGGCTCTCTAAGTGGCCCTTGGCTGTCCCAGAAAACACTCTGTAAACCAGGCTGGCCTCGAACCCACAGAGAACCACCTGCTTCTACCTCCAGAGTGCTAGGATTAAAGGCGTGTGCCACCACACCGGGCCACCTCCTTGAGTTCTGCGTTTTTCCACTGGTGAACGTTGTAGAATTCACCTTTTCCTTTCTTTTGCCTTCCTGATCCCGTTCCTCCCCCAACAACAGCGAATTAAAGATATTAATAACCCAACACAAAGTGCAGGTAGAAATAAGGAGCCAAGAAGATGGAAAGTTAAAATGAAAATGAGCTCGAATTGCCCCTGGAAGCATATGTGTGAGTCTGCATGTTATTTAACTTTCATCAACAGTTTTGCTGACAGACCTATTCTGCTTGTAATCAAAAACAATTCAGGCTGACTTGCTTTGTTTAATGCTTTTAAATGGAAGTAAGGATTGGTTTTTTTTGTTCGGATACTGTTTCCCTAAACCAATCTAGAAGTAGTCCTTAGCAATATAGCATCTGGTAACCAATGCATAAGCAAATAGAAACTCATTGTAAAAAGAATGAAGTCTGTTTAAAAAGTTGTACATAGTGTACATTAAATACCAACACATAGTTTTTTGTTTGTTTGTTTGTTTTGTTTTGTTTTAAGGCCTTCTCTTCCAGAAATGCTGTAAAGCCACTCTCCCCAAATGCAAGAATTCTGGTTAATATGACCAGAAGTATCTAGAAACTACAGTTCCAAGGCTCCCTGTGAAGCTCATGGCAGGCAGAGAAGACTCAGGCCAGTGGTGGGGTGGGGGTGGGGGCGGGAGGTGGGGGGCATGGATGCTCCATAACCACCTGATATGCAGAGTCAACCCACCTCGTGTGCACCGAGCCCAGCTTTGACAAAACTGGTATCTTTTTCCACCCCAACAAAAGGCGCGAAGCCCCCGACACCTGGTGTATCGCCATCTGATACTTTTTCTTCCTAACCCAAGTTCCCTAACTCCTTCCAGAGTTGAGAAAAACGCACCCAGCAATGGAGTCAGCCCAAGCCAGCAAGGAAAGGGTTGACAGCTTCCACCTCCACTTCGCAAAACAGAATCACTCTGTGAAGGCTGGGGTGGAGGCGGGAGGATGTCCCCTTTCCTTGGAGGTGCTGGAAATAAGATAGTTATTGGCGCTGCCATGACTCTAGCTGAACCTGAAAGCTCCCAGGGTGCCCCCCGGGTCTGTCAGCACCCCTCCATCATCACCCTGAAAACCCCTGAGAAGCCAGCCTTCCCCCCTCCCGTCACCTCGCTCGCTCACCAAATGCTGGAGCTGCCAACAAATGAAAGTTTTCACGCTGGGAGACATAACCACCCCACTGAGCCGCGTGTGAACTTTGCTTTGCCCTTTTGATTTACTGGCTTTCTCTCCACGAAAAACAAATAAAAACCAAAGGGAGCCCACCGATTCCAAATGAGTTCGGGTAACCATCCCACCCAGCCACGTGGAGACCCTCTGACCTTCTCATGACAGTCAGAGAGAGGCAGCATTTACCTCTCGGCCACGCAGGGATGGATGCTTTAGTGCACGGAAATCAGGATGAAAGAACAGGCGTGGGGAGATATTTTTATCCATTAAACAGAGAGAGCGAACGCAGGGGAGAGAAGGAGGGTGTGTAGGGAGAGGGACAGGAGGCACAGGGCAGTCCGGGGAGGAGTGACAGAAGTTAGCTTACTTACATGGTGGGGCTGGCTAGAGGACGGGGCTGCCAGGAGTGAGGACCGGTTACCCTCAGGTGTTCCAGACGCTGATGACTCCTGATGACTCGTGGCTTGGCTCCTCCGACACCAGCTGACAGTCCCCTGTCTGTGTCTCTTTGTGACTAAGGACACAGTACTCCCAACCTATAAATAGATCCCGACTCCGTGATTGATATAACAGGCAGCTGACAGAAAAAAAAAAAAAAAATCCCACAACCATAACCAGGTCTCAAGCAAAACAGCAAAAACCTTTGGACGTCCAACTCCTCGGAGCCCCATGCAAGCCTCGTAGCCACCTATGGGGCACGGGAAAGGAGGACGTGACATGTATTGGCGAAGGGGGAGGACCGGGCTTGCTGAGTACTGTGGGAGTGTGGGAGACAATGGCTTCTTGAGTGGCCAGCTCACTCTGGGTCCCACGGAGCTGGTGAGTACGGGTCTGTGGAAAGGGTGGGAGGAGCCCGAAGGAGGTCCTGACCCTGTGAAGGAGAGCTCCCCCGAAACCCTCCCCCCGATCCTGAGCCCTGGTCGTCAGGGCCTGAGTAGTCAACATTCTGACTTGGGAGCATTCGTCAGCTCAAGTGCTTTCCACGAAAGTTTCCATTCCCCCTGCCAGATCAGGAGGCAGGGAGGGTGTGCGGCTCCCCTAGCTCCGAGGGCCAGAGGGACTGGCCGGGCCAGGCGGAAGGCCCCTGTTGGGTAGAGAGAATGTGTTACCAGGTAAGGAGGCCGGGAAGAAGCTGGATCCAGCGGTGCCCTCTTGCAAAGGCAGGTGGCATTCTCCATGAATGCCACCGTGGGGGCTACTGGTGCCTCTTTTTTCCAGAAAGATTTCTTAGGAGGCCAAGCTCTGCAAAGGTTTCTTCCGGAAAATGAGCACTCTTTGGGGTCACTAAAGGGTCTTTAAAGAACACCCCTGCTCCAGTTTCTACGGGGTTGACCCAAGCCTTCCTGGGACAGGTCAGTCCGTATCCAGCAGCTAAACAAGGGGATGAAGTTTCCCGAATGGTAGCATCGTGACGGAAGGGCAGTGATAGGGCTTGATCACGCAGGGAGGGCTATGGGCCTCAGCTATTGGAGTTACTTGTGTATGCTCAGTTGGGCACAGTGCCATCCTTACAAGGTTCCCCTTCAAGGGGGTCATGGAGCCAGCCTGTGCTGGTATAGAAGGGACATAATAAAACCCTTAAAACTTGCTGATCATTTTTTCTTAAGGAAGACGTTGCTCCATCTCTCTCTGTTAGAACCACTTCTTCCCTCCCTAGCAGGAACCACAGGATGTGTGGTACCCAAACTGTTAAAGTCAAAGACCTTTGTGACCTGTAGGATCTCAGATACCCTTGTTGCAGCCTGCCAGTGGAGCAAAGCTTCGTGAAGGTAAAGACAGTGCTTGTCTTAGTCACCTTTGTGTCCCAGGGTTACCATGGTAACTGATACATAGCAAGATGTCCTGATTGTGGACTTGCTGGCTGACTAAATAAATGGATGAATGAGTGTATGAGTGAATGAGTGAGTGAGCAAATGAGTCAATGAGTGTATGAGTGAATGAATGAATGAATGAATGAATGAATGAATGAGTGAATGAATGGTACCCAAGACACTGGGAGTCATTCTTCTGGGATGTCGGAAGCATGTGTTTCATGAGAATGCCCCTGGGAAAGTAGAGGATAGGGACAGGGACTTTAGGAGAATCGGTCTGATGTGTCCATCGTTAATGTATGGTTCTGTCCAAGAACCCGGTTTGCCTGGGTGCCAGGCCAGTGTGGCTAGCAGCCACTGAGTGCATCCCTCTAACCAGCCTGGCCATATACAGAGCAGCTTGCAAATGTTGCTGCTGGGAAGGCAGAGAGCCCTGCAGAGGTGGGACTTGGGAGGGGTCCCTGCTGACGACAGGATTCAGAGGCACTTGGTACACATTCCCCACCAGGCGCCTTCCTGGGGAAAACCCCTCTTTGGATGCAGACTGAGGCCTTCCCTTCATAATCGCCTTTCTTTATGCACTCTCTAGCTGCCGTCTGGCTTCTCACTGACCCCTCACTGCTTCCTGGAGGAGAGCAGTGTGTGTGTGTGTGTGTGTGTGTGTGTGTGTGTGTGTGTGTGTGTTTATCTGTGGCCACAGTCCTCCCGGGCTTCCCTGACTCCAGTGTAGTGCCTGCTCTGATCCAAATGCACAATAAAGGGGTTGAACATGTACCTCCAGGATTTGCTTAGAGAGCCTCGTGAAATCCTGGTTTTGACTGTCATCCCTAGGCTGATTTCTGAACTGGTCCAGTCTCAGTCTTACCGCTTCTAACGAACCCGACCTTGGAGCCATCCATTTGAGCTGCCCCATGGGTATGTGAGGCGGCGGAGGGGTGGGGACCCCAGTGACAATATGATAACATACAGCATCCTTTTGAATGCTGGTTATCATCATGGGAGACCACTGGGCTCGGCTCTTAAGAGGCTCACCGCTCCATCATGAAGCCTGTCCCCTGCCACCAGCGGGTCACCTATTCCCATACACCAGCCCATCAACTGACTGGTTGTGCTGAATTCTTTCCTCATCCATCTATTACTAGGAAACTCAAGTCATATCCCTGACTGCTCTGAGCCTCAACTTCCTTATTTGCAACCGGAAACCCCAAATGTCTAACTCACAAAACTCATAAGAATAAAATGACAGTCTAAGAGGATGTGCAGGACAGTGCCTGGGAAATGGAGTGTCTTGTATGAATACTCGGGATATCTACATTACCCACATGCATCTCTGTGCTCCTTCTGGATATGGCCCCTGCCTGTCTTCACCACCTTCCTCTTCCTTTCTTCAGTTCTTTCCAAAAAGCTAGGAGTAGCATTGGTAGGACAGGCCGATGACAAGGGCTCTGGCCCATGTAGCTCCTGACCAGAGGTCAGAGGTCAGGAAGAGAAGACCACGGACTTTTAGAGTTTTTGTGTGTTCACCCACAGGCAGGGGAAAAGAAAATCAAAAAAGCCCCCAAAGACCCTGGATTTTTCCCTGTGACTTTACCTGCCACCCCAACAGCCAGGTTCCTTACACACCCACCCCTCCCCGAATACCTCATCCCTTTATCCAGAAATGCTCCACTCTGAGTGTCCTAGGATCCCTGAAGAGTTGAGGATCCTCCACCTCCTTGAACTTCCCATCCAGAAGTCAGTCACAGCATTGCTTTAGAACAGGAAACGCCAGTGCCAGAGAGATGGCTTGGCAGGGAAGTGAGTCTGTCTCCAAGCCTGATGAGCTGACTTCGATCCCCAGACCCCACATGGCTGAAGAAGAGAATCAGCTCCCGAAAGTTGTCCTCTGACCTGTACACATGTGCTGTAGCACCCCCTAATACACAAGTACATATTTCTAAAACCTCAGGCTGGAAAGGTGGCTCATTTGGGACAGGGCTGGCCTTGCAGACGTGATAACCTGCGTCCAGGTCCCCAGAACCCATGTGAAAAGCCAGATGTGGTGATGCACAGCTATGATCCCAGTGACAGACAAGCGACAGGGACAAGCGGATCCTTGGAAGCAGCCCAGCTAGTGTGTCCCATGTGGCAATGTCCCGGGCCAGTGAGAGATCCTGCCTCCAACAGAAGGTAAGGATGCCCGAGGACACACCCAGGGTTGCCCTCTGACCTTCACATGTACTCTGTGCACATGCACCCCCCCCCCCGCCCCCACACACATAGAGACAAAACAAAAATAGAAACCGCAACCCAATCACCTACCTTGCTCCGTGAGAGTGGAGGCTTCTTCTCCTTCAAAAGAGACGCGATCTCCTGAGGTCTTCTCGAGAGTCCCTTCCCCGGAGCGGTTTGCTTTTAGTGCGCAGTACACTTTCACATAAGTGCACTATTTTGAAGCATACACTTGAGCGTGGTAAGCTCATCCACACATTGCACAAGGAGAATCACTGCATATCTATTTCTAGAACATGCACAGCACCCCCAAAGAAGCCTCCCCATACTAGACGGCTGCCTCCATTTCCCCACCCGCCTCATTAGGCTGCAAGGGCCACTCCAGTGCAGCACCACCAAATGGGTGGCTTAAGCAAAAGAAATCTATTTCTCTTTAACCTTTGGGGACCTCAGCCTCTGGTAAGATGCTCTTCTTTCGGTTTCTGTGGATTTCCCAGTCTGAGAATTTCATATGTAAAGAATCATGCAGCGAAGTCAGGCGGCGGTGGCGCACGTCTTTAATCCCAGCACTCGGGAGGCAGAGGCAGGTGCATCTCTGTGAGTTGAAGGCCAGCCTGGTCTACAGAGTGAGTTCCAGGACAGACTCCAAAGATATACAGAGAAATCCTGTCTCGAAAAACAGAGAGAGAGAGAGAGAGAGAGAGAGAATCATGCAGCGTGTGAGCCTCCCCCTAATCTCCTAAACCCATGTGGCTATGGCCCCATTGCAAGCATGTGTTTTGCGTGATTTCTCTGTCTGTCTTCTGCCACCCCAGTTCTTACCCATGTCTGGGGTGAGCCTCCCAGATTTTACATTCAATAACTGAACTCCTGACCTAGCGTGGCTACGTCATGGGGCTCTCCTCGTCCCTTCCTCCCCCCACACCTGCAGGAAGGATTACTGCTCTGAATTGGTTTGCAAAGGCTTGGCTAACAATGTGCCCCAAACTACGTTGGCTTAGAACAAGAGAAATTTACTGACTTGTTCTAGAAACCCAAGATCAGTGCAGGGTTGCCTCCCTTTGAGGCTGTGAGGGCACCTGTTCCGTGGCCTCCCCTGAATGTTAGAGGCTTGCTGGCCATCTTCGGTGTCCTTGGCTTGCAAAGGCAGCTGTGTGTCATAGTCCATGTGTGCCTCTCTGGCGCAGTGTCTCAATTGCTCCTTTCTGTAAAGACACTGGTCGGAGGACTTCGTCCTAATGTGATCATTCTCAAAGACCCCATTTCCTAAAAAGGTCATAGCCACAAGCATTGGAAGTTAGGGTTTCATCATCATTTAGGGGGCAGGTTGGACAAACAATGCCACTCTACAGAATAGACAGCGAAGTGGAGCCCTGGGAGACAGAGCGAGAGCGTGTCTCTGTGGGGAGAGGACACAGGCAGGGAGACGCTCCCCCCCCCACCCCCGTGGCTCCTTCTGCCTTAGGGATGCGTGGCCCTACACTGGCTCCGTGCCACCCAACTCCTGTGTCGTTAGTCCTGGCACATCAAGGTGACTTTATACTGTTTACAAGAGCCACTGAAGATACAGCCTGTTCCCTGCCCCCGCTGCCTTATCAATTCATTTACCTTTCAGAGTTCCCTGTAGCAGGCTGCCAACCCAGAGGGAGGAGTGAGCCAGGAGCCACAGTCCAGGGAGGGCCCAGGAGCACTTTATCTGCAGAGACAATCTATCTGCTTGGGGACAGACTTAAATACAACACAGTGATGCAGCTTTGCCATTAATCATCTCGCGCTGGGACATGGGAGACTGGGAGCGGCCACGGTGGGC